TGCAGAACTGGTCTGTGATTTATTTTTAAAACTTGCTTTGTGCCTCAAATTCGATTTTAATTCCGATTTTACTTTTAAATTAACCCCTCATTGTATTTTATTTTTCAATTTGATCATTTCTTTATTTATTTCATGTTTTATTTAATTATATTTAAAAGACTACCATGCTTTATGAGTCATTGATCCGATAATAATCGTTCTTTTATTTTTAATTTTATTTTTTATTATTTCTTTTAATTTTATTTTAATTAATTTTCCTTATTTATATTTTGTAATTGACATTTTTTATTTAATTGAATTTTTCTTTACATTGTATTTTCAATATGTATGATTTGTTTTTATTCTATTTATTTCAATTTTCCATTTTGTTAATTTTTTTTATTTCTTGACATATATATATTTTTTATCAATTCAGTACTTCATTTTTAACATATTTTTTTGACTTTTTAGGTGTATTCTTAAATCAATTAAAAGTAAGTAATTTGGATCGAATTTTTTACTTTTTAATTTAACTTATAATTTTCTTAATTAAGACAACTAAAAATTAAATTAGTACCGAAAGGGTAGTACAAGGGTACTAATCCTTCCTTGACTGTAACCGACTCCCGAACCCGACATATTTCTGGTAAAATGCAGATCAGGTAAGAAGGTGTCCGATCAACCTAGTTTTTATGTTTTAAAGAAAAATGATCGATGGCGACTCTAACCCATTTATTCAAGTCGAATCCCAATTCTGGGCCCACCCGAAAGACGGTCGTAACATTAATGTATTTATTTTTGATGATTTGGGAGTACCCCTATTTTGTGAATTTAAATTATCACGTCTTATTTTATTTTACTTGGATTGATTTTATATGGCATTTCACAGTTGTTTTAAAGAAAACTTTTGGGTTAGTCACTCTAGTGGTCCCGTATGACATCATGAATTAGTGATATTCGGGTAGGACTAAATAAGGGTGTTATACGTTTAATGTCAAATAGTTGAGAATTATTTTTGAACATATATTATCTTGTACTTACCAAAATTAATAAAAAAATCATAATTTAATTATTAATTTTTTATAGGGTAAACTATGTCGTTCATCACTAAATTTACTCTCTCCTATTTTACTCACCGTACTTTTAATTTTTCTAATTTAATCACTTAACTTTACAGATTGAATCATTTTGCTTACTCTGTTGTTATCTCACTAATGTTGTAATGACATGTCATTTTTTATTATTATTTAATATAAAATAATTAAAAATATAAAGGGTAAATTATACCGTTCCTCACTGAACTTTACTCTCTCTCCTAATTTACTCACTATACTTTCAATTTTTCTAATTTGCTCACTGAACTTTACAGATTGAATCATTTTGCTCACTTTGCCGTCATCTCACTAATATTGTGATGATGTGTATTTTTTTTATTTAATATAAAATAATTAAAAATATTAAGGGTAAATTACATTGTTCCTCACCGAACTTGCTTTATCTCTTATTTTACTAGCCCAACTTTAAAATAAAAACAAAAGGTGGTCGGATGCCATCGTCAATCACAGTAGATGGTGGTCGTTCGGTCCCAAATTTTATGGGTCATTTTGCCTCAAGACCTTGAGTCTGAATCCGACCTCCATTTTGCCAAAATTTGCTCCGAAGTCCACGAAGTGGAGATTGAAAGTGAGAAAACTGAAACGTTTCAGTCGAGATCCACGAATTTTGGGATATTTTTTGGTGAAATAACCATCAAATTCAAACTTAGTGGTTCGAGACGAACAGACCCGTGAATTTTTAGATCGAATGGCCACCATCAATGATGGTAGCCGATGGCCGGAATGAAAAATGACGTGGTGGCTGGCAGCGACAACCAATCGCCTTATTTACAAAGTAGAGAGAAAATGGGGGGGGGGGAAGAAGAGGATTTGAAATGATATCGATTTGGTGTATATTTGAGTTTTTTAAAACAGTGTCGTTTTGATGTTAGTGTCATGTCATAACACCGTAAAAGTTAACGGTAGAATGAGCAAAATGATTTAATTTGTAAAAATTCAATAAGTAAATTAAAAAAATTAAAAATATAATAAGTAAAATATGAGAGAGTACAATTTAGTGAGGAATGTGTAATTTACCTGTTTTTTAATTAATCATTTATATATCATAATTGGATAAATGGATCTGATAGAAGAAACTAATTGAACCGGTCGAAAAAACGGTTTGCTGTCACCAGGAGGAAGAGGGAAAAGTTAGTTTGAGAATAGCAAATAAAAAGGAGAGGGGAAGAGAAAGAGGTGGAGAGGGGAAGAGAAAGAGGTTAGTGTTCCCTTCCCTTTCTTGTTTCAAAAAGGAAGAATTTTTTTTTCCCTTTCAGTACTTTGATTTGATGATTTTGTGAATAGTTAATCTTGTGTTGCAGTTCTTGAATCAAAGTTAACTTTTGTTGCGAATAAACGGAAAAAAGAGAGGAAAACAAAGATAAAAGAAAAAGAATCGGTTTTGGTTTGATTGCTTTGAAGAAACAATCAATCAAAATTGGATGAATCGCAGCAGAGATGATTTGTTTTTGCTCTCAGAATGCTAGAGAAGGGATTCACGCTTGTCTTCACGATTACGACAGGCTCATCAATGTCGCTGTCATCCTCATTTACATCCAAGTAAATCTCTCCCCTTTTTTTCTCTCTTTGTTTTCTTTCCTTGGAATCAGAATCACAACAAATCTGGGGTTCCATTTTGCCTTTGTTGAAAAGAATGAGTTGTTATTTGATTGATCAGATTGGTTGTTCCTTGATCGGATCTCTCGGCGCATTATACAACGGTGCATCGCTGATGAATTTGGGGATCGCATTATTCGCGTTGGTCGCCATCGCGAGCAGCAGTCAGAGCTTGGGCCGAACCTACGCCATTTTGCTATTCTGCGCCATCCTTCTCGACATCTTTTGGTTCATCCTCTTTTCCCGCGATATTTGGAACACGTCCAACCAAAGTAATGAGATGGTGTTGGTCTTCTCGCTCAGATTAACGCTTGCCATGGAGATCTTGGGGTCTTGCGTGAGATTCTTTTCGTCCCTGTTATGGATTCAAATATATAGACTGGGAGCTTCGGATGTAGATAGTTGTGCTAATTTGCGAGAACCTGATTTCGGTGTGAGAAATAGTTTTCTCAATTCCAGACAACGCTCCAACAGTGATTCCGATGACGCTGTAGGATCTCATTACTCTTCTCTTCTTGAAGACCGTCAGCTACCCGAAAGTTCTTAGCTAAAGCCACCGCTTGGTAGGACTCTTTCTGGCTAATCATGTAAGCATCTTGTTTTCCCTTGGACTTTCTGTATATAGAGTTATATTTTGATGGTAATAATACTATCTGGAAGTTGCTTTTCATTGTCCCAAATTGTCATGCAATCTTTTTCTGCAAAGAATGTTTACGTCCTTTCTTGTCGACCAAGTGTTCTAACTTTTAAATTGACATGGTTTTGGTTTAAAGCTTCCTGCTTATTTGGTTTGATTGTTAAAAGTTATTGACATTACCCCACTTGATTGTCAGCTCGAAAACAGAATTATATTCTATTAACCACAACAATGTAAAAGAAATACTATCCAAGATTCTGGCCAATTTTTTATAAGAATTCACCGATCGCTGCCATTCCTCTAAGCACTCGGTTTCCTTTCTCCTCTTTGTCTTGTTTATTCTTGCAGTTCCTAAACATTGTGCCTTCTCTCTGTTCTGAATGTGTACCGGCTCGTTTGAAGAAATTGTCTTTCTAAACGTTAAGGGATATTATACTGAAATAAGCAAACCAAGTTAGTTAACTATTAAAAAACTAGTTCTTATCAGTTTATAGTACAGTACTTGTCCTGCATTGATTTTGCTGTTTTTCTTGTATTTTTCTACATGGATTCGGCAATACAATTTGCAGTATCTTCTCTCACGTTTAGTTAAATTTGTTGTCTTTTGCTTTGATAATCCATAAAGCTACTTCTTCATCTACTTGGTTCTGGAAGCTTTTAATTTAGTGGTTGTTCGTGGCATAGTCCATTAATTTGGTTCTTTTTATTTTAAATTGTTGAACATTGCACAACGATATATAGCTCAGCTAATTATTGGTTGCAATATTTTCCTTTTTGCCATTCCATCACTTAGCGCCTTTAACCCATACTCATTAATTGCAGGTGGAGAATACTACAAAAGTGACTCAGACTCTTTGAATTCAATCACTACTGTAAAAAGTTCAGCTTGATATTCCTACTTTTGAAGTTTCTTAAATTTGTTCGGCACAGCCTGAGATGTTGGTGGGAGTGGGATTTGTTGAACTTCCTGCTATGTCATTCTTTTCCCAGGATGTAGGTGCAGCTAGTAGAGTTGGATGTTCAGTTTATCTTGTAAGAAATAGAGTAAACTCGAAAGGGATTTCCCGATTTGTAGGTTTATAGTTAATAGAGCATTTTTACATTTTTAGCTCAAAGGTGTAGATCAGAAACCACATATGGGAGTGGTAACAGCTCCCTCTTGAACATGCTTGGGATTAACATTGAGATGTTCAGTTTACCTTTCGTCCATGCTTTCCCCATTTTGACAGATTTGTGGGGATTCTTCTACTTGTGATTGAATGGAATGATTAGTTGATTAGGATTGCCGAAACCAAAATCCAAAATTCCGAAAGTTTGAAGAAAAATTGGTAAGAACAAACTTTGACGTAAAAAACAAACTTGCGAGATTAGAAATCTAGATAATTTGAATACCAAAATCATCGTCGTTTCCTCTCTTTCAGTGACCGGAGGGAGGGAGGTCGACACCGATGATGGCATGGGGCTTTCGATATCGGGTGGTGACCATGAGCGACCTTTTTGAAACTTTTTGTGGTTTCCTTCTATTTCTCTATTATTATCATTATTATTATTTTTCACGTTTTCCCCTTATTAAGCCGGAGAGAGACACATACAACGCGTTTGGATTAGATATCCCTTATTACAATAATAAAATAATATTACAATATAATAATCTATAAAAGGGAAAAAGTACAACTATTACCATTTCATTTCTTCTTTGGACACGATCAAAATCCTCTAACACATACCATCCTTCTTTGTTCGTTCTTCTTTGCTGTAACTAAAGGTAAGGAGAAAATCAATTCAAAATCATCTCTGTTGTATGTTTCTGTATCTGAAATATTTTTTTCTTCTTTTGCTTATTTAATTATTGCTCTGGTTCGTGTTTCTTTCTTAATTATTGGGGCGAAATTCTTGTTTCGGTTTGGGAATTTGAAATCTGTTGGTTTCAGCATCACAGATCCTTCATAGCTGCTGTTTGATTTTGCTAAAAAAGTGTTTTTCCTTGACAAATTGCTTACTGTTGGAATCTAGTGTTCTTTGTGAAGACTTTGATTCTGGAAATTTTTGTGTAGTTTTTTCTGGGAATCATACGCTGGGAATTTAGTTTGGGGAATTATATATGTAGATCTGCTGAATCATTAAAAAGAAGTTTTATATCTGTGGGCAGATTTGCTTTCCATTTTAGTTGACTGTAACTGGTTTTAATGATGCTTATTTGCTCTTTGCTTGTGATAGAACCCTAAAGAAATTCTAAAAGAGGAAAAGTAATTTGTGCTGAGGAGAGGCTTGGAAGATAATGGAGGAAGCAATGGCAGCAAGGTACTGGTGTCACCAGTGCTCTCAAGTGATTACTCCGGTCATGGAAGTTGAGATTAAATGCCCGTTTTGTCAAGGTGGATTTGTCGAAGAAATGAGCGGTGGCACCGGAGACGCTGCTCAAGACATGGACTCGAATTTCCAATCCGATCGTGCACTCTCTCTGTGGGCGCCCATCTTGTTGGGTATGATGGGTAATCCCCGTCGCCGCAGAAGACTTAGACATTTCGAGTTTGACGAAGAGGATGGTGAGAATTCCGATGGTGAAGCTCGCCATGGAGGTGATACGGACTTGGACAGAGAGCTCGAATCCATCATGAGGAATAGAAGAAGAAGCTCTGCGACGATTTTGCAGTTGCTTCAAGGTATTAGAGATGGAATGGCACCTGAAACCGAGAATTCCGAGAATGATAGGGATAGTGATCGGAATCGGAATCGGGATAGGGATAGGGAACGAGAGCGTCTGATTTTGATCAATCCTTTCAGTCAAACTATCATTGTCCAGGGTGGTCAAAACCAAAACACCAACCATATAGGGTCTATAGGCGATTATTTCAGCGGTCCTGGCTTAGATTTATTGTTGCAGCACTTGGCGGAAAATGACCCCAACAGATATGGGACGCCACCAGCACAGAAAGAGGCGATCGAGGCCATGCCAGCCGTGAAAATCAAGGAGAATTTGCAGTGTTCTGTGTGCCTAGATGATTTCAAGGTTGGTGGTGAAGCAAAGGAAATGCCATGTAAGCATAAGTTCCATAGTGGGTGCATATTGCCATGGCTGGAACATCATAGTTCATGTCCAGTTTGCAGATACCAAGTTCCCGCTGATGAATCCAAACTCGATTCCGATAGGCCAAGGAGCAGTAGCAACCGGAGAGAAAGAGAAAGAGAAAGTGAAAGCAACGTTCACGAACATGGTAATGGGGAAGAAAGTGAAGGGGACGGGAGAAGGTTCTCGTTTCCATGGCCATTCAACAGCTTGTTCGCATCAGGATCTCAGTCCAGCAGAGGGAATTCATCGTCATCGACATCCGGAAATGGTTCTCAAACAGATGAGAACTGAGTTTATATGGTATCAATCATCCCTGTTGGTTGTTCAATACTACCATGATTGATGATGCTTCAGTATTCTATTCGGCCTTGTCTAGTATGTACAATAATTATTTGCAAAAAAAGTTTGGTTTTTGTTATTGAATTTATGCATTCTTGTAGATCCTTGCCCCTCGGAACATTTGTTTCACAAAATTCTGAATTCTGAGATATTATGTAATATTGCTTCTCTATGCGTTCGAGTCCTTCTGCTGACATTTGGACAAAATCTATGCCGAATTTTCGACATTCGTTCCGATCGAATGTCTGGTCTCGATTGGTTGGTTGAATGATTCAATTCTGTTGTAAATATAAGGGTAAAATAAGGAAGTTGATTCAATTATGTGTTTGATAATAATAAATCAGTATCGTTTTACATTATTATTTTATTTTATATTAATTATGTATAAATTGAATTATTTGTTTATATTTTTTAGAAAATATGAAATATGTATTATTAAATTGAACATTTGGACAACTTCTTTGATTAATATATCTATGGACTAATATGGCCAGCATGATGAGATTTTCATTGAGGGCCAGAGATGTAATTGTAATTGTAATTGTCCATAGATTAATTAATTAATGGTAAAGTAAACCATCTCAATTAAGATAGGTGAACTGAACTTCCAGAATCTTCCCTTGCTTGTAGCTACACTGGATGGTCTTCTATATTATGGACGGCTGCGATCATTTTTCTTGTTTCTGATCTAACGGTTATTATCCGACATTAGTGATGAAGTATTATTGTTATCAGAAAATTTGAATCATTCATTTTTATATATTAAAAAATTATCAAAAATATATTTTATAAAATAATTATTTAATAAATGGCCATATATGAAATAACAAAATATTTATATGATAATTTGATATTTAATTTTTAAATAACGATTTTAAAACATATTATTTAACAATAACACACTTTGTGATGACCCCAACGCGGTAGTCACTTTCATAATCCTATACACATTTTACGACTTCCTAAACACTTAACGTATAAATATGAATACTTTATTTTTTATTTAATAAATTTGGTATTGTCAAATGGTTTTAAATTAAAATTAATTTAAAATATTAAATTAAACTTAAATTTTAAAAAATTGAAATCGAATAAAATAACTTGTGCAATCTAGAATTCAAAGATAAACATCAAATAACTCAAAATTTGATATAATAAAAAAATAAATATTGACTTATTTTTTTAATTTAATTTGATTAAAAATTAATTAAATTAATATTCGACGGTTTTCAAACGCAAGTGGTTTTTTTAATTGAGAAACTGATTTGTGGAGGATGAAAGTACAATTGACGAATATTGGTGGGACTTTCCAGTAAATTCTCACGCGTTTTCTTGGTACATCTTACACGTTTTTCTCTCGAATTTAAAATAAATCATCAGATGTAAACAATACTGCATTTGCTCATCAACCAATTGATAATTCTGTAGATGAACGAATATTCGTTAAAAAGTAATTAAAAAAAAGAGAAAATAATTTCAGTGATCGGAATGTCTTATAATATACGATTTTAACTAACTTTTTTTAGATTTACGAAAATAACCAACAAAATCGCAACGCGAACTCCAATTTCACAACACAGTTTTCAAATTCGCAACTCAGTTTCTGAAATCGTAACGCGATTTCCAAATTCGCAACACGAAATTTTAAATTCGCAACTCGATTTCTGAATTAGCAACGCGAAATTCTTTTCGTAACACAAGTTTCTTTTCGCAACAAGATTTTCTAATTCGCAACACGAAATTTGTTTTCGCAACTCGATTTTCGAATTCGCAACACGAATTTTAATTTCGCAACAGCTTTTATTTTCGCAACGCAAATGTTTTGGGTATATAAACTACGCAGCAGCAACAACTCATAATCTAAATCCCTAAATCGTAACTCATTCCATCTCCATCTCTCACTCTCTCCGGCGACATCCGTTCCTATATCCAACGACATCCTTCCCCATCTCTAATTTTTTTTTACATAATTTTATTTCTATATAATTTTTCAATGATTTCTCTCTCAAATTATCAACTATCAACTTAATAAATGTATGTTTTTCTCTAAGTTAGTGATGATATCTAGTTTATAGCTCGTTTGTTTAGTAAATTAATTTACAATTTGTAGAATGAAATCATCTAATGTTGATCATATTTGGATAGATTTGTGATTTGGAGGGTCATGGGAGAATGCTAATGGTGTTTAACAATATATGCCTTTACCCATGAATCTTCAATTAAAACTGTCATTAAAAAAGTTAACCTATGAAACTCTAATGTTACGTGTTTCAAAGAAATTGAATTTAGAGTCTTTAAGTGGATTTAGGCTATCTTATCAGAGAAAGGTAAAGTTTATTTGTTAACCGAAAATGAAGATGTTGAACGATTCATTGCTTACATTAGTGTTTCGCAAGATGTTGTTACATTATATTGTTGAACACAGTAGTGAAATTGGGTCAGTAGCGGGTAGTAATCAACTAAGTTCTTCAGCCCCAGTTGATGGTGCTCACAATGTACAACGTTGTTATCAACCTCAAAATTTAATGGTTCCACCACAATTTCATCACCAAGAAAATTTTATTTAACCACATTTCCAATACCAAACACAATATCAAACACAATCTCAAAACCCACAACCTTTCCCTAATCCAAATCCCAATCAACTTTCAGCACCAAATTTCAGTTTTCGTATTGACCAGTTAGACGATAATGAGCCAACAAAAAAAAATGTGAGTACTAGTCAGTATTCAAAATTTGATCTTGGTCAATACCCGGACTTTGATCTTGGTCAATACTCGGATTTTGATGATGTTTCAGAAGAAGAAACAGCCGCTGCCGAGGAAGATGTTGTTGATGATAATAAGGAGGAAGTTACGACTGTGAATGAACATGTTGAACATCCATTCTGTAATTCATATAACCCTAAAGAAGAAAAAGAAGAAGAAGAAGTCCCGAAGAAAAGAAAAAGAAGAAAATGCCACGGGAGTATAACTGGAATATACCAGAATTATTTCAGATACCAAAAGAAGAGTTGGTAAATATAACAGTTGATTGTTACACAAAAGTTATTCGTATCAAGAAAGATGATTGTTTTGATACAAATGAAGACTTGAAGATAACTTTGTATACAAAATGTGTGGAAGATGGCTATCAACTAGAAGTTAACAAATCAAGCAAAGATCATTTCGAAACAAAGTGTATGATTGACAAAAACTGTACGTGGCGTATGATTGCAAAGAGGATAAAAGATTATGAAATGTTTCAAGTTAGGACTTTTATTGATAAACATACATGTTCAAGAACCCAAGTTTTTCCTCACCATAGATAGGCAAACAAAAAGGTGTTTGGTGGTTTTCTGGCTGAGTTAATGTTTTTGAATGGCATGATATATCGGGGACATGAAATTATGACTGACATGAATGCTCGGTTCAAGATTATTATCTCATATTCTCAAGCTTGGAGAGTCAAATGTTATGCCTTGGAATTGTTGAGGGGGTCACCTATCATGAGGTGATGGTGGAGAATATGCTCGATGATGCAATGGAATAGGTGATGGCTCTCGGTGTCTAGGTGTATAATCGGCTCGATCAGGTGGTGGCTCTCGGTGTCGAGCTGTAGAATCGACTCGATCAGGTGATGGCTCTCGAAGTGGGGGGTGCTCATCATCCGTCCCATCAAAAAAACGCCTACTAGCTTGCCACCAATCAGTGGCAAGCTCAGCCTCTGTGGGTGTCAGCCTCTGTAATGGATAGTTTGCTTCCTAACAATATAAAAGCCCAAACAAAGTCAAACGTCTACTAGTAATAATTTGTTTATATATGGTAGTATTTGTGTTAACTTACATCATTCATCATCGTATATGGTAGTAAATCTTCCCAATCCAACAGCCGGATCCTCCTCCAGGTAATAGCCCTAGGAATATCATTTGAATTTTTGATGGCATATGTACACATGTTGGGAAAAGCCTCAAATATCCAAATCTACAAACAATATAATACACAAACATTAATTTTAGTAATTGTACGGAAGCTGCTCTCAACCTGGCGTTAAGAGCAGCCTATTACCCTACCTCCCCCTTACCCCATTACATATGGGAATAGGTTCACCTAAATTTATATAGAAATTATTACCTTAAAGGCCCAAATAAAGTCTACCAAAGTGTATTTGGAACCATGGCCACGCAAACTACGACGGTCCTTACAGACAACAATTTTTTTCAGGTAGCTTTCCATAGATATGAACCCTAGGGAAACACGTTCCATGCATCTAGGTCTTCTACCAATAATATTAAATCCTGAGAAATAGGTTGTCTGCCCTCTTTGGCTAAAAAGTCAGCATTCAAAAGTAATAAAAGACATACTCGGACAACATCAATGTCATCCACCCGAGTAAAACCATCTTTAAGAAGTAATCTTCTCAAATCGTCGACGTGTAAACTGAGCTTCACCTTTGCCAGCTCAGGAAAATCCCAAAATAACTATGATGGGCGGGCGATATGACTAGTGTATGGACCTACTTCATTGTGTCGTCCGAAACGTAGACCAGTGACTAAGCAAAACTCCTCCCGCCCAAAACGAGTATACGCCGGTGGAGAATGAAACCATATCTCTTCATCACCACGTTGTATCCCCTTGGGTAGATCGTTAGTCATGGTCTGAAGAAACAAATGAGTCAACATAACATCTCCACCTGGATGTTGTACTTTTAGCCATGGCCCGAAACAAGTATTCTCAAACAAATTTCTTTGTACAGGTGTAAGTGTCGACACAATTGTAGTGGCTAGGCTTAATTTATTCCTTTAAGTCAATGCAACCGAAAAATATTTCTAACAAAAACAATAAACATACCAAGTTATATATACCAAAAACTACAAATTATACACAATAAACAGACATGATATTAACAGGGAAAATATAGCCAAATATGTTTCAAACTAGCCCGATATTCACCCAAGTCATTATTCTATCATAGTTCACAAAATGCATCAAATATGTAACACCCCCAACCTGTATCCGACCCGGATCTGAGTCCGAGATGTCACATTGACTTTTTAAACTTTGACTCTTAAAGAAAATCATGAAAATTTTAAACTTTCATTAAAATAAAAGATGTTAATTCACACAAGTTGGACCAAAATAAACAAAATTAATCAGAGCATTAGTAATTCACAATTTCGTTACATGCCAACACACTATATACAACTAAATATCTACACT